CCAAGTCTTTGAAGGACTTCAATGCCAAATTAAGAAGTTTGAACTTTAGTCTATATTCTTTGTGAAACTATTGAAGGAGATTGAGCTACTCGTCTCATGAGTATCATTAAAACTAGGTGGTAAACTTGAGAGCAGTGATGGTATCATATAATTTTTTGTTCATACTGCATTGGTAACACAGTGCCCAACATGGCAAAGCAGTCAGGAAATTTGTTAAATTGAGTTGATCTGTACATTCCAGGTACAGTGAGTAGGATGTTGAGTTTTGTCATTTACTTTTGTCTGGATACTACTTATAGAGGCACTAACTTGATCACTTAGAGTACAGAAAATAAGACAGCATGAGTCCCTTGCCATTCCAAATGCCAGGTTAAATGTTCCATAATGGGTTTAAATTAGCAGACTTTTTGTTGTTGTTGTTTTCCATTTCCACTGAAGAATAAGAATCGGAGCAACATTGTGATATGAGAGGGTTGTTACATTTATATGAGAAAATTTCATGAAAGTGACATTATTAAACATTTAAATGGAGGGAGATTGTGGAGTTGCTTTTCCTGAAGGTCGTGACAAGCAAATACCACTCATTTGTCAGGAGTGAACTGGGGGGTGCTCTGCCAGACACGGGTAGTTTAAAGAAATAACCAAACCAATCTAATTTACGTGCTTTCCTGATAGTACTTAATATTGTTCACAAAAAATAGCTTATACCATTTGGAACAAGTATTTGAAAATTTTAGACTAAAAACTAGGCTTAGCAGAAATAAGATTTGATGAGGATTAGGAGATTTTCTATTGACTGACAGTGTGACCTTGGGCTGTTCCTAGCCTCTTGGGAACATCAAGTGCGCCCACTGGGCCTAAGAGTGGTACTCTAAGACGGTATAGCTGACAGAGCCTGGTTCCCAGTCCCTGAATCACTGCCCACCACCCAGCTGGAACTACACCACAGGATCCTCACCTGTAGGCTCTGCTCTGCCATAGCCCCTACTTAGGATCAGTTCTGTAACTCTAAGAATGTTGTGCCCCACACTTAATACCTGAGTTTCTTTAGCCTTGTTCCTGAGCACTGCTACCCAGCCCACCTCATATGCCAGCCCTGGTCTGGATCTCTGACTGCTCACTGCGTGAGCTCTTTCTTTTTCTTGCTATTCTCCCTTGTCCACCCTCTTTCCCCTACTCCACACCGAGAGTATAACTGATCACTGAACCTGGAGGCTCAGGCTTTGCTACCTGCTGACAGGCTCCCTAAAGCCAGTTTCTTGTCTACTTAAACATTGCTGATCCTCTGGTCTCCATAACTACACTCTAACAACCATCAGAGTGGCCTGTTATCTGTTCAGGAGTTTTCTTAAATCAACTGCCTGACAGATGGTCACCTGAGGTCTGTTGCCCAGTTATCTCTAGAAATAGGCCATGTCCACTATTCCAGAATTTCTTTCTGCTTCAGCAGCTGTATTTACCTTTCTTATGACTGACTGCTCATACACTGAAAGAATCTCACTCTAGTCCCAGCAGTCTGCCTTTTTGTATTACAGTTAACTGGGCCATCATACAAAAGATATGAAGGATAGATGTTACCTTGGGAGACAGGAACATGTTGAAGTTAAGAAGGTGAGTTCTAGGGTCAAACCACTTGAGCTGAGAATCCAGTTTGACACTGCTGGCTAGGTGACCTTGTCAAGAACTGTGAAGGGTCTGAGATTTTATTTTACGTGCAAGCTAATTAGTTAGCCTGTCACAGTTTCACGGATGCTGGCAAAAGACACAAGACTCCTGGATCAGAGACAAAGGACAGTTTATTATTCACAGCAATAGCAGTAGTCAGAATATCATAATTTGTACTGGTTCCCTGATCCTCAATTCCCACAGGGCAATGCAGAGAGGGCCAAATGATATCTGCACACACAGTGGAACAGTGGATTGTGTTATAGAAGAGGAACCTTAACAGAGAGAGCACATATTTTATAGTAAGCCTGCCTGACCTCTGCCCCAGAGGGTAATGCTATCTTAATTATACTGGATGGTAAGCAGTTCTGCCTTTTTCCCTGAAAGGAAATGCTATCTCTATCTTCCAAAGCTGTTCAAACAAACATCCTTGAGAAGAGAGCCAGTGCCTCAATTTGCAAGACATGTAGAAACATGAAAGACCCACCGGGAATTATCTTCGGCAACTTTGGATAAGTTCTTAAAGCCTTAGTTTTCTCATCTCAAAAATGAAATTAATGGTATATACCACATATAGTGGAGCCCTGGTGGTGCAGTGGTTAAGAGTTCAGCTGCTAACCAAAAGTTTGGCAGTTTGAATCCACCAGCCTCTTCTTGGAAATCCTATGGGGCAGTTCTATTCTGTCCTATAGGATCGCTATGAGTTGTGATCGACTCGAAGGCAATGGGTACCATATATAGTTGTGGGGATCAAATGATACGGTACCTATAAAATGCTTAGGTACATATAAAATGCTTAGCGTCATACCTGACAGATACCGAGGACTTCATCATCATTAGTTATTACTATTATACATCATTGTTTCTTGAATAAGATGCCAGGATGTTTAGTGAATTCTTTTTTTTCATTAGCAAATAGAATATTGTGGCTCAGTGATGTTTCTAATTATTTGAATCACTAAATATTAACATTAAAAAGGACCAGAAAGATTACCCAGTAAAACCTGACATTTTACAAATAAGGAAACAGATTCAGAGAGGTTAAGTGACTTGTTGAATTTCACACAGAAAAGGCACAAACAGGACAAAGAATATCTGATTTAAAATTCAAAATGTTTTTAATTATACATAGTGCCCGAAGCTCAATAAATATTGGCATTACAAATGAACTGAAGCAAGACTATATTAGAAAACATTCCGTGTGTTCATTTGGCCACCCTTTTCTTCCTACTTGCTTGACTTACAAAACCACCTTAAACTTGGCCAAAAAAAAAAAGTGATGGAAGGAGAGTTAAAATATGTAACCCAGATCTCCTTTTCTCTGCCTCCATCATAATCATGCTGTCTGTGGCAGAGAAAAAACAGAAGACTGAAAGGAAAGTGCTTTCTGTATATGTAGGTGATGTTGAAAATGGTTCCATTCTGGCTAAAAACAGAGAAATTCTGGTAGAATATCTGGCAGCATTCTGTCAACAGCTTTGTGCTGGTTTATCAACAAGCTTCCTAAGGCATGAGGGGAAGTAGTGGGGAAGGGGAAAGAGAGGGTGACAGAAAGAACATCTAGTTTTAGAAGGCAACATATTGTAAGGAATAAGCATCAGTGGTAGAATAAGATGACCTGGATTCCTGGGTGAGCTTGAGCAAGTTACTGAGTTTCCTCCTCTCTAAAATGTATATAATATCCTTCCATGAGGAGATGATGTGAGATTCAAATGAAGAAATGAAGTGAGAGTGTATGGCACGTCATAGGTACTATAAAATATTAATTTACTTTGAATCAATTCAGTGAAAGTATACAATCCTGAAAAGATTTGTAAAAATCAACTAATTGATTCTTGCACCTTTTCTTAATATGGATCCCACTGTTGAACTCTCGTCTTTAAGAGTGAGGCCATAACTTTAGCTTCTGTAGCACTCTATGGTGCTTTCAGGGATTCTAGGTCAGAGTTGAGCATGCCCAGGCAGCCAAATCAAGATTTTAAAAAGAAAGAAATGATAGGGAATGTGAACTGTCCATCTTTTGTTCAACTCAAGCCCTCTGCAAAATCATCCCCCTATCACGTAATTCAGTTCTAGGTGTTCTAGAGGTGTCTCACACATGCTCCTGAGCAGGTGGGCTCCAGCTGTTGTTATCCCTTACACACGGTGAGCACTGCACTGCCCTCTGCTGGGCCCAGCAGGAACTGCTCTGTTTTGCCATTGCTCTGAGCCCCTTCACAGGGCACCCAAGTATGTGTGTATGAGGGAGAGGGGATGGGGGCGGGGGAGGGACAGATTGTGATATGAAACATACCCTTTTCCTTCTGCTTTAGAGAAGCCCTGAAGCAACGTCACTTGTTTCTTCTATGTTGTGAAGAGTTTAGGGAAATAATTCTTCCAGTTTTTACTTGGAGCATTCTATTTTTCTGAAATCAGAGATTCTGAAGATGAATTTGAGTGAGAATGCTAGAGGACACAATCTAAGCTCTTTTGCAGAAGGCTACCAAGAACCCTGATACCTAAGTTCCTGCTGGGCCCATCACACCAGGCATGTTTAAATCTAGTAGCTGCCAGAGGTCTAAGTTCAAGCTGAGATCCCTGTTAGAGATATAGATGTAGAAATGAATTTATTTATATCCTGTCTTCTCCAAATGTGACTTTGGGCACTTGCCTTAAATTACAGATATATCACAATTTGTTCATTTTTTTGTTCTTCATTTATCAAAGAAGGAATACAACATGGATGAATCTTGAAAACATTATGCTGAGTGAAACAAGTCAATCACAAAAGGACAAATATTGTATGATCTCACTAATGTGAGTAACTAGAATAGCAAATATATGGAGATTAGAGGTTAATAGTGGTTACCAGGGGTGGAAAGAAGGGGGAATGGAGGGGACTTATTGTTTCAGAAGCATTGAATTTTTGTTTATGGGGACGGAAAATTTGGCAAAGTATAATTGGTGATGGTAGCACAACAGGACTGATATAACTGATCTCACTGAAGTATATACATGCAAAATGTTGAACTGGCAGATGTTGTGTTATCTATAATTTCATAACAATAAAAAAATAAGATATTTAGACCCAGTTCCTGTATCATAGCTCTCATGGTTTGTTGCTTTACTTTATGTCTTTGTAGAGAGAGAGAGAGAATGTCGCCAGTTAAAGCTTGATTTAGACCATATCGTAGTTAACTCTCAAAAATATCCCTTCTGAAGTTATTAAGACATTATCAGTGACCCTATACTCAATCTCTAGGGTTGAAATGAAACTATTACAATCAGGAATATGCAGAAAATGTGGAATTTGGTTCAGCAACCTTTTAGTGTTCTCAATATTCTCTTTGCCCCAGGTTATGCAGATGTACCTTCCTTTTTGTGGAATCGCCATATCCAACGCTCAACTCTTTGCTGCCTCAAGGAAAGAATATGAAAGAAGCAGGGTGAGTAGAAAGAAATATTGCTGACAACCCTCAAAGCTCTCTGTCTTTCTAGGTTTTTTTTTTTTTTTATTGTACTTGAGATGAAGGTTTACAGAACAAATAGTTTCTCATATCTTTCTAGTTTTTGTGAGTCATTATGCCTTTTAAAAACAGTAGATGATCTTGGAATAGTCTGGGAATTTTTTTTTTTTAATTTGTATAATCCTAGTCTATGGTTGAAGATACCTCTTAATGAATATGCCCAAATGGAAATGAATATAAATTCTCTGTAGTTGTTTAAGGAAAAAAGTGCCAGCTTCTTCTAAAAAAAAATTAATGTCAAATCTATATTGTAAGGCAACAGATATATTCTTGCTTATTTGTTGCTTTGAAACAATAATACAACTTTGTGATCTTTTACAATTGAGTTCCTTTAAGAAGTAAGGTATGATACAAACATTATTTCATTACCTCTTGCAGATGTTGTGTTTAAATTGAAAGTTTTTCTGGAAGAACATCACAAGGTACCTGGTACAATAAAGCAAATACTATTTTATAGGATTATAAAGAAACATGTTCAGAGGGATTATTTCCTATACGTTCATCATTATAGAACTAAGCAGTTAAAAAAAAAAAAAGTTAATTATCGAAGAGAGGTTTAAACTTTATTAGGCCTGATCTACTTTTAAATGTAGGAAAAATACTTCACAACTTAGAAGTATAATTAATAAGATGTTAAAAAAAAGATTTGAAATCAGTTAATCTGGTAACCAAATTGATTAAAAATTTCATTTGCTAAGCATTTTGATTCATGAATATTTCACAGGAAACAGAAGGACACAATTGACTACGATAGCCATCTTCCTTAGCAGGGTATACCACACCTTTTCTCTCATCTGGATCCTGTTTTCATCTCCAGCCCCGTAGCTTTCTATTCGCCTCCTTTCATTTGGCCCTCCAGTAATATAGCCCCCATTTTCTAGAAAACATTGTTTGTTTCACTTTCTCATACCTTTAAGCACATTTCTCACTCTGTCTTCAATGCCGTCATGTCCACCTTTACCCTCCCACTGCCAACTGCCTTGCATAATTCTTCAGGATGCCGCTCAGCCTTCCCGTTAATCTTCCCTTCTCTTTTTTTTTCTTCCTTGTATTTACTGCCTTGTTCTATTGTAGATGTTCATCATACTGTATTATAATATTTATTTATGACCCTCTTCTTCAACTACATTTTGAACTCCTCAAAGGAAGCCTCATGTGTTATTAGTCTTTGCATCCTCAGTACATGGAAACATTCATTAAACAAATATTTATTGGGTGCTACTATTTAGACCCTGTCCATCCAAAGCCCCTGCCCTTATGGAACTTACTATTCTAATGGGAACACAGATAAAAGTCATGTATAGAAATAAAAAATAATATGTTATCAAAAACTGAAAAAAAACAAACAAACCCATTGGTATAGAGTCGATTCCAACTCACGGTGACCCCATAGGTCAGAATAGAACTGCCCCATAGAGTTTCCAAGGAACAGTTGGTGGATTTGAACTGCCCACCTTTTGGTTAGCAGCCAAGCTCTTAACCACTGCCCCACCAGGGCTCCAGTGTATTATTAGGTTGTAATAAATACTATACAAAAATAAAGTGAGATAAGGGGTTAGAGACTGGTCGCTAAAGGGTAGGTTGGGAGGATGCTTATTTTAGATGATGATCAAAAGGCCTCTATAAGGAGATGAGATTTGAGCAGAGACCTGAATGAAATGGAGCAAAGCCACACAAAGACCTGGAGAAAGCATTCTAGGTAGTAGAAACATTGAGTGCAAAGGCCCTGGGGCAGGAGAATGCTTGGCCAGTGTGTTTAGAAAGCAGAGAAAGAGGGTGAAAGTGAAAGGAAATGAGATAGGGAAGTGAGCCAAGGGTCAGATGGTGACAAGGTCTGTGGACATGGCAAGGACTTCAGCTTTTATTCTGAGTGCAGTGGAAAGCCACTAGAAGATTTTAAGCAGGGAGTCTGGTTTACTTTAAAAGAGATCACTCTGGCTTCTGTGAGACAATAACCTGGCTGGGGAGGGGGAGACAAGACAGAAAGCAAGGAGAAAAGGTAGGAGAGTACGTTAATACAGGCAAGAAATAATGTGACCAGGAATGGGGCAGTGCTATGGATTGAGTTGTGTTCCCCCAAAATATGTGTTGTAAATCATAACCTCTAAGCCCGTGGTTGAAGGCAACGGATTTTGTTTTGTTTTTTATGCCTGCGGTTATACATAATCCCATTTGGGAATGGGTTGTCTTTGTTATGTTAATGATACAGGATTTGTTGGGTGTGTCTTGAGTTGATCTCTTGAAACATATAAAAGCAGCAGATTAGGCAAGCAGAGATGAGGGAAGAGAGATGCCAAGACACATGAAGATTGCCCAGGAGTAGAAGCTCAAAGAGACAAGGACCTTCCTCCAGAGCCGACACAGAGAGAAAGCCTTCCCCTAGAGCTGGCACCCTGAATTTGGACTTCAAGCCTCCTAAACTGAGAAAATAAATTTCTGTTTGTTAAAACCACCCATTTGTGGTGTTTCTGTTATAGGAGCACTAGATAACTAAGAGAGGCAGTGAAAAGTGACATATTCAAAAAAAAAAAAAAAGTGGTGAAATCTGTACGGCTTACTGATGTAGGAAATGAATGAAATAGACTTTTGGCTTCTGCAGCTAGCAAGTAAATAGTTGGGTCCGAAAACAAAAAAACAAAGAAACCAAAACCAAACAAACAAACAGACCAATTGCCATGGAGTCAATTCTGATTCTTGGTGACTTCAGGTGTTGCAATGTTTCAGTTAGCGCCAAGAGCATTAACCATTTGCACCAGCTAAGAACTTCCAGTAGCATATAGATGCCCAGATAGGTTAACCTGAGGGAGATTGTGTAGACAAAGGAAGAAGTCCAAGGATGAGCCCAGGAGCAAAAGAAAGGCAATAGAGGAAGGAGGGAAAAAATAGAGATGTTTGTGTTCCGAAAGGCAAGTGAAAAAACCTTTCAAGGAGCAGGAACTATTCCACCGTGTAAAATGCTCCCAGGGTCTGTTAAATTGAATGTAATCCTAGGTTTTCTCCTCGCTTTCTCCTATTCTGGGGCTAGTGGGCATTGTTATTTGTAAAACTTTAATCACTTGTTAGTAAAGCAGTGATTTTTAATTAGAAACAATAAAATTACTGTAATGTGATTAGTCTGTGCAAGATGCAAGACACAATTAGTTTTTCCTCTGAGATAAATGTTCTTATATATAGATCCCAGAGGCTCTATCCACAGAGTCACAACAAATTGAAAAGTTAAATAATTGTTCAGTTAATATGATCAATCTGAAGAAAAACTCTGGATAATTAAGGGAATTATGTTTATCCCCTTAATAACAGGGACTTTTGTTCATAATTATTCAAATAATTGCCTCATTTTTAATGTTATATTTGAGCATGACATTATTGAACATTGCCCTTTTACAGTGATCTCCTGTCCAAATGCAAGACAGTCAAGACACACTCAAAACTTTTCTCACCCCATTGGTATTTCTCTTTGCTTTTGGGATCATAGAGCAATCCATGGCCTTTAGTCCATTCTCAGAATCTTTCTTTAGAAATGGCACTACCCAGGACATTTGGTCCTTTTTTAATTGCTCAGTGAGCTAGGCCTATTTCATGGATCCCTTAACTCATTCAAATGCTTTTCTACCTGAATAGACTCAGAGAAGAAATTTCACGTTTCAAATGGTTTCAGGACAAATCAAATTCATTACCAAAGTTGAAAATTAGTCCCATCTCTGGGATAATGATTAACACCATCTACCTGAATAGATGTGAATTTGAAAACTCATGACATCCTCTTGTGAGAGGTAACCTGAGGTTACACATCTTAATAAATTCTGTTGAATAAAGCACCCTCTGGCTAGCTCACTGGCTGTGTAATTTTCCGATTGCGCGCTGATAGAAGCATAATAACTAGCATTTCTACGTGGCCCAGTATTCTCAAATCTCTGGAAATATGCATGTCGTAAAAAATTCCAAACAAATATTATTTTAATGCAAACATTATAAGATAACTTAATTGGATAAAGTGACAGCTTATTACAATTGAATTTTTAAATGAGTACACAGGTTTCAGATTAGAATTTAAGTTTTTTTAAGAATTCACGTGCTTCTCATTTTGTTGTTTTAACAGAAATTTTAATGCTGTTTTCCTTCCTGAGATACATAGTAGTGTCTAAACGTTCTCCTAGACTGGTTGGAATGAAGCAGCACTTCTTGTGTGGAGGGATTAATGGAGGTTTTATATATATTTTTGAAGGCTCTGAACCCTAATTAACATTTACCTCTATGATTCTTTCAGAGTTCTGTGAGAGATGTGTATTAGTAATAATAACACTGGAATTTGAATAAGAAGCTATTTCTTCCTGATGGTGAGGAAGAACTGCTTTGTAATTTCTGAAATAAATGTGCTTTGGAGGGAAAGCAGATGTTTGTTATTTATAAAATGTTGAGTTTTATGTGGTTGCATTGCAGAAAAACTAATGTAGGAAGGGGGAAAAGCTTATACCTAGTGAGTATGTGAATCCTGCTATATGGACTGACACTAATATTAAGTTGTATTTTGTAGTTCAAGAGTGTGTTATAAAACAAAGTGATGGAAATCTGTCATGAAATCATAAATGCTTTAAAAATGACCCACACAAAAGTGTTTGTTTTTATATTTCATTAGTGCAAAGGCTAAATGGAATTTTTAGCAAAGAAAGAAAAAGGCAAGAAAAAAACCCAAAAAACAGAACAGAACCAACAACCATTTTCTTGAGTCCTATATCCGTCTAAATAGGTCCATTTCATCTTTTCTAGGCTTTACTAGAGGTGGTTAATGACCTCTTTGAAGAGCAGACTGACCTGGAGAAAATTGTCAAGAAAATAATGCATCGGGCCCAGACTCTGCTGAAATGTGAACGCTGTTCTGTTTTACTCCTAGAGGACATTGAATCACCAGTAAGCGATCTTCCTTTTATTTTTTTATTTTTATTTTTTTTATCTTTTATTGTACTTCAGGTGAAGGCTTACAAAACAAATAGTTTCTCATGAAACAGTAGTACACATGTTGTTTTATGACATTGGTTAACAACTCCACAACATATTAACCCTCTAAATTCTCAACCTTTTTATTTTTTGATGAAAATACACATAGCCAAAGATATACCGTTTCAAAAATTTCGACATACACAGTTCAGTGACATTGACTATGCTCTTCCAGTTGTGCTGTTATTCTCACTTAAGATGAAGGCTTACAGAACAAAATAGTTTCTCATTTAACAATTACTACAAATGTTGCCCTATGACAATGGTTAATCTCACAACACATCAACAATATCCTTACTCAACCTTGGGTTCCCTATCACCAGCTTCCTTGTCCCC